TAGCGGTACGCCTAATGCGTTTCATGGCATTAAATATTTGCAAGAGCGAAAACTGCGGACAGTCATTTGTAGTCTCCAAATAAGTAGGCTTGAATGGGCCTCCAGAAGCAGTGGAGATGCCATTATAGTACTGGTTAAGCTGCTCAGCCGAAAAAGCACAGGTGCGATCTGGGGCTATTGTATTCTTATTCAATAAAGTATTCACACGGTGCCACCAGTTTCGACCACTGTAATCAGAAAAGGCACGTTTGGTAATTAAAATACGAACTTGAAGGCCGACAGCATTCGCTTCCGCAAGTTTACCTCGACGTGCATGTCGATGCTTCTTCCTTAAAAGATATTTCATAACCGGAGTCATGAAAGGTGGATCCTTTGAGCTAAGAACAACACGTTTCAATGGACAGGCGACCTTATACAGATTCAGAAGCTCGTTAGAAAGTTCCCCTATTAACACATTTGGATCGTTGTAGTTAAGAAAATAACTTAAATCATGGGTATCCAGCAAATAGTTCAAATGATTTTTGTTGGCAAATCTATGGTCACGAAAGTAAACAACCTTCTTTTCAGATTGTTCAACACCATGATAAGCAACCAAACCCATATGGTCCGTTCTCAGAGTAGACGTAAATCGTTCAATACCATTGAAATAAATTTCATCCGAACACAATATTTTGTCAAGTCTATTATTCCCGCGTGTGGGTTCCGTAAAGACCGCAATCTAATACGAGGTCATCAGTATCCAAGTTATTGAAATCCCCACAGAGTACAATAATTGACGATGGGTTCTGGTCCCTGAAGACATTGATGGAATTTGAGATATGCATTTCTAGCTGACGGCCATACGTAGCATCAGGTGGGAAATAAACCAAACAGACCAACAAATATTTATTTCCTACGCTAAGTGACAGCCACAGAATTTCATACTGATCAGAATGATGACAAGTCCACCGATCACTGACAATACCTTCACGAACAAAAATACAGACACCGCCGCCTGTGGTTTTGTTTGAGTTCAACGAATTGCAGTCTTTCCTAAATATATTATACCCAGTAATAGCAATAAACGAATTATCAATGTCCGTGGTTAACCAAGACTCAGTTATACAGATAATATCAAATCCGTGATAAATGGCATCACACTGTAGTTCATAAATGGCATTAAGTTTTTTCAATGAACGGGCATTCAGCAAACAGAGAGTAATTTTGCGGTTGGCTAGTCAAAACACATGTTCTTTGCCATCCAGATACAATTTTAAATCGCTAGCTCTCAGTCTATCCTTTGAGATACCGGTTTCGACAAGTTTATAACGTTCAGGGAGAACACACGACTCCAATTTCTTTTCGTCAACAGTAAGCTCTCTGGATAAGTAGATGCGATCAGAATAATCTTTCAAGATTAACGATTTAGCCAGCAGCTTACGAACCAGCCATGGATTCTTAAACCACACCAGCAAGGTTCTCGGCCTGGTAGCATCAGATCGATACTTTCCCAGCCGAAAGGAATCAGTAATAGGCTCATTGCCAGGCTCTCCCAAATACTCCATAACTTTTCTGACTGCTTGAATGTCTGAATCCATTCTGTCATGCAATTTCTGGTTGGAAGGTTCAGGCACGCCATTTATTCTTATTCCCATTTTACTTTGATCATCAGTTGTAACAGGCGTTGCTGTGTGGCGATTTACAGTTGTCTTAGTATCAGTGGATACAATAGCTGCTTAAGATTGATGACTTCAGTTTTGATAGATTCTAGAGAAATTTCAATAGACTTATCTCGAATGGACGTCTTCATTGCTGTCTTGGCATCGTCAAGGCAGTTCGAACAGGCCACATAATCCCATGAACCGATGATAGATGGTCGTAAATCTGCTGCGGGATGTCCGTACACGCCCGATGCCACCACTCGCCACATTTATCGCATCGCACTCCTTCGTCTTGCTCTTCACGGCTGCGTTGCAGGATGTACACAGTGATTTTTGAGCACTCTTTAAGCGTCCTTTAGTTGCCATAGAATTTTCGACGAGAAAATAACGAGATACAACTGGGGATTATCAGAGACCGCTCCGAGTTGTTACAAGAGTCGCTACAATCGTTACAGAGCAATTCACGCAAACGGTGAAGGGTGTTGGGACAGTGTGTAACCTTATCAGCCTTCTGGAAAGGAGATAAGAACGTTATTTCCCCGGATTCCAGAATCCGTAGGGGTCTCGATACTTGAACTTGAACCATTTTATACGAACTTTTAGCTTCCTGGTCATGCCCTGAATTGAATTTAATTAACCTCTGGATTCATTTTCTGATAAAGAGAAGCTAGGAGTTGAGGGAAAGGGTTGATCCATCTTCGATGGAGATGATGATTTTTGTCTACTGAACAAAAACAATCGTAATATAGTAAATAGTAGTAGCCCTGTTTTTAGGAGTGACCTCGTGGTCTGGAGATACTGAGACCCAGCCATGAGCTCACTAATTTTGCAGGTAGGTAAGTTAATTTAAGCGTTCTGGTCGAAGCCGGAGAACAGTAACCTTTTTGTCGAGCCGATTTTGAAAAGACCACCAAAAGAACTGGCTTAGGCAGAGACGGTGAAAAGCATGTAGAGCTGTGTTTAGACGCTAGCCAGTCGTTTTAGAACCTCGCTTTATTTTCCGTGGATATGTACTTCCGGGCGAAGGTTACAATTCTAAACAAGAACCAAGCTTGTAGTTCTAAACAAGAACTTGCAGTTGTTAATCTGCTTTATCCTCATATTCCAGATTTCTTGATAAGCGCATCATGGAACAACAAATACTGGCATATTTGTAAACAAGTACCAAGCTGGTTGAACTTGCAGTTGTTAACTGCTTAATCCTCATGTTCTAGATTTTATGATAAGCGCGTCATGGAACAACAAATACTGGCATTGGACTCGCGTTACAGTGCATACCGGGCTCCTAGTGTCCCGGGCTTTAGTAAGTTGTCAGATTAGGCGATTTGAATTTCAGTCTAAAAAGCTGCTTCTAAAATTTTGACCGTTATGTTTTTTTGTACAGAAACGCTGTATATTCGCCGCCGGTCACAGTTACTGAAAAATTGCAAATCACAGGTGTGTAAAAATACATTTTTGGCAAACGAAATGGTTTATTTACAATCAGGTGGGCTATATTTTGCCTTAGATTGACCCAAATGTCAGGAAACAGTATCTAAAAACTCGGAATATCCTTCTTAGTCAGAAATATGGCGTAAATTTGGAGGCAGGAAGTTCCCGAAAAAGTCTGAGTTATCGCAGTGGCAGTCAGCAAACACTCGAGGTTGGTAATGAAATCGCCGTTAATAGCTGGCACTCTAATCCTTTCTGAAAAAATGCTGAATTCTGATGAGCAGTTTTTGCACTTGTTTTTACTAAGTATATTTTTTATTCAATGTTTTTTTTTGCAGAGAAGCTTTGGATCATCATCCGCTTCTGCAGCATTGGCTGCAATGAGAAAAATAGCGGTGAAAAATGAGCGAATCGAAGAGGTGACATTTGATGATAGTGTGAACATATCCGTCACATAGTGTGCACTTTCTGAATTCTTATCATTTCCTTTTAGCTTATCCGTATTCAGAATTTGATACGGCCCTTCCTGCTATCCATAGATTTGAAAAGTTTAACTTGACCCATATCCTTACAGAATTGATACAGATCACTAAGTACTCAGCAAATGTTTACACTTGCGACGCAAAGTGTATTAGTGCGAACTTTTTTTCTAACTTTTGTCGCAAATATTGGTGCCACTGAACTTGAACCCGAAACTACGCCAAGATCTTAGCACAGTGCAAAAAAACTTATTTGCTTCAAAATTTCTTTTTGGTTTATCATTTCGTAAATAAATGGTTTTAGGCGGGGGAACATCCTCTAGTTGCATTGACAACATTAGAAGATAGAGCCTAACATATCTATTAGATGATAGAATTGTTAGGTTTCTCTGAAAGAGCAATCCAAATTTTTACGATCAATTTTTATCACAAGTGTTCTCAACAAAAAAGAATGAACGTCAAAAATGGAACATCATTAATGAAACAAAAAATTCAAAGAATATATCAAATAATTTTTCACGTCTGAAAAAATCTTACGGAGAATCAATAACAAATACTTTTAAAATGGCTCACTTCAATTATAAATTTTTAACACTAGGTATTTTTGATTTAAAAAAAACAAATTATTCAATATGTTTTAGAGAAAGATTTGAGTTTCATAGAAAAAAAATTTTCATTTAGGTTCTTCACAAGCGTTGAAAAAAAAAAGGATTGGTGAATTTTAATGTGCCAAATAACCACCAGGTCCATCTGATATTCGAGAATGGGCTCTGTAAGATGGATGAACTGAAATCGACATCATTTGACGTTCCTTCCAAATGAGTTCGTGAAAAATAGCCAACACCCAGAGGTTTGGCTCGACGCCGGCTCTTAGTAGGAGGGTGCGGATCAGACTCGCCGGCTTAGGCTGATCCGATAACAAAAACCCGGCCGAGGGTCCCACGCATGGGCGCCCGGTGAGAGGAGTTTGACGTTGGTCTGCTGGTAGCAGAGGTCGGGTCGTCGCTCCCGATCCAGAAAATTTGCAACCGGAGTCCTCATAGTCCTCTGGTTGTTGGTCCCACCGCAAAAAGGCTCTCTCCTTCCGGGACCGAGGAAGCGGAGCCGGCGGAGGACTTATGTTTCTCGTGCACCACACAATCCTTTTCACCCCTGTGGACGAGAACACACCTCCTGGCGAGCCCCTCGAACACCAATCGATTCAAATCCCACTCCTAAACGAGGTGCTCACAATAAGAAACGTATACATCCCCCCAGCAGTAGCTGCCCCTCGAACTTCACCCCCTCGTTGACCCCTTTCCTCGAGACTAGATGCTCCCTGATACTGGGCGACATCAACGCACACGACCCCCTTTGGTGCTCGTCCATTCAGGACTCGCGCGGAGAGACCCTAGCCGACGAAATTGAGGCATCGAGCTTTGGAGCGCTGAACACACCCACAGCGACCCGTATGCCAACTTCGGGCCAGGCAACCTCTCCTGACGTATCCCTTGCCTCAGAAGATCTCCTGTCGAAACTGAGCTGGGAGACGGAAACCACGCTGAGCTCCGACCACCTGCCAGTCATCATCCGACTATCAACCAGTCCACTGACAATTCCAGCCCCGAACAAGACCTTCACAAACTTCCTCCGCGCGGACTGGGACGGCTTCAAGTCGGAAACAGAAGCTGCGTTCGCGTCTCTCGAGGAGCAGCGCGATCCCTACAAAGAAGAAAGGTTGTTCCGCGAGATTGTAAACAAGGCAGCCAAGCACCACATCCCGTCTGGCCGTCGCCCAACGAGCACTCCAGGCCTACCGCCAGAAGCGGCCAAGCTCACCAGCCAACGCGATGCCTTGAGGACAAACAACCCCACATCCCCAGACTTGCCACTCCTCAACAACAAAATCGAGATGATCCTCAGGAAGTCCCAAACTGCCCGATGGCACGAATACATCCAGACATTTGATCACAAAACAAAACCAGAGAAACTCTGGAGGACCATTCGTACCATTGACGGCAAAAAACGCGACCCGCCAAACCCGTCCATCAGGTTTGACGGACGCACATACACCCGACCTAAGGACCAAGCCAGACTTTTCAACAAGCATTTGACGGCCCCAATCAAACATGAAAGCTCAAAAGAGAACCGAGTCATCAAACGCAAATTGAAGTCACTTTCCCTCGAAACCCCCATACAGACGACCCCGTCCCAAGTCAGCAAGGCGATCCGCAAGTGCAAGAGTTCGAAGGCGTGCGGCCCCGATGGGCTAAACGCACTGCATTTGAAAAACCTCGGACAGCACGGCGTCGCCTGGCTGACCAAAGTTTTCAATGGCTCCCTCGCAAAGTCCCAAATCCCCATCATTTGGAAAAAATCAATTGTCATACCACTACTCAAGCCCGGAAAACCCCCACAGGACTAGTCCTCCTACCGCCCCGTCTCGTTACTCTGCCCCGCTGTCAAAATTTTGGAAGCCTGCATCCTCCCAATACTTCAATCCCACCTGACCCCAGAACCACACCAACACGGCTTCCGCCCCCTCCACTCAACCACAACTGCCCTGCTCGAAATCTCCAGCGCGGTCGCCGACGGTTTCAACCAAAAGAAACCGGCAGACCGCACGGTACTGGTGACATTAGACCTTTCCAAGGCCTTTGATATGGTATGTCACCGCACCCTGCTGGAGAAATTGAGCAGAACTTCACTACCCCCTTCGCTGACCCGCTGGCTCTCAGGGTACCTGACCGGCCGCCAAGCACGCACCCTGTTCCGCGGTGAGACATCTCCCGCCAGAATTGTCCGAACAGGTGTTCCGCAAGGCTCAGTCATATCACCGACTCTGTTTAACTCCTACGTTGGCTCCCTCCCCTCCCGAGGGTGTCAACGTGGTGAGCTACAGTTGCAGCCATAACTCGACTACCTAACGTCCTACTTTCAATCCCTCAAACTCGCACTCTCCCCCGGAAAATGCGCTGTAACATTACTCACGCCTGACACCAAGGAATGCAACGTACAACCACACTTGACGGTGGCAGATATCCCGCTCAAGTTGGAAAAACACCCCAAAGTACTTGGTGTCAGGTTTGACCCGATGTTCAAGTTCGGGGAACATTGCAGGGTCGCTCCCTCCAACGCCTCCAGGGCGGTCAACGCCATGAAGGCCTTGGCAGGCACGGACTGGGGTCAGGACACGGAAACGCTACTCGTGGCCTTCAAAGCCTTGGTCAGGCCTCGTCTCGAATATGCGGCCCCAGTTTGGTCTACAGTCGCATCCGAGACCAGTGTCAAGCGTCTGCAGACCATCCAAAACGCGGCTCTGCGGGTCGCCACCGGGAACCATCTAATGGCCCCTCAAAGCCACCTACACGAAGAGACGCAGGTGCTCCCGGTGAAAGCCCACACGGCAATGCTTGCAACACAACATCTCTTGGCTTGCCACCTCCCCGAACACCCTGGTCAGAGACTCCTCGAGAAACCTCCTCCCCCCCGCAAAATGAAACCCACACTAGTCTCTGCCCATGCCCCCCGTCTGGAACACCTCCTCGAAGGCGTTGACCTGCCGCTACCAACGAAGGAGTACCGACGGCTCCTGAAAACTGTGCACACAGAGACGGTGGCGACGACAACCCAGTCGTATCCACCGTCTGGAGTCCTCGGTACAAGACCCCCTCCTGTCAACGTCCGAGAGGAGAAGACCCTACCCAGACGTACTCGGAGGACCCTCAGCCAACTTCGGTCCGGCTACAGTCAACACCTGTTGTCGTACCGGGCGAGGCTCGAACCAGACCAAGAGTCCTCCTGTCCCCTCTGCCATACAGCCCCCCACACGACTGCCCACCTGTTCCAGTGCCCCACAAACCCCACTAACCTCCCCCTCACTGCCCTTTGGACAAACCCGGTGGAAGCCGCCCGTTTCATTGACCTGGCCGGGGTACACCCCACAATGTAGGGCCCCGGCGAGAGGCAACTACAACAACAACACCCAGAGGTACTAAAAAAGCAATATACAAAAGAGACAACCCAGAAGATCCAAAGAGCTACAGACAAATTTCGGAAACCGGAGCACCACCAAGTCTTCGATAAACTATTATACAAACAAATAAATTACCATCTCTTATCCTACATTCTCCTAAGCAACACTCAATGCATCACGGGGTCCCATAGGGTACTGTACTAGGACCACTCATTTTAAATCTTTACATCAATGATCTTAATAAGCAATTACCTGACTCCTTCTCTCAAACTGATTGTCATGAAAACAGGACCTATCATCTTAAGTCGAAAAAATTTATGTGAAAATAGAAATTTCATCTCGTTATATGAAAATTTAATTGAGTAAAAAGCTGATTCTCGATCAGCTCTTAACATTGCAAAGAGAAATTATACTGATTTCAATAAAAATGGCTTGTGGGTTAAAATCATTACAATCAATAAAAAACCTCTTCCAATAAAAACAACAGTTTTAATAATGAACGCACTTGTTATTATTCAGCTACACTACCCAGCTATTCTCCTAAGTGGAATTTTTTCAACTTAAAATAATGTTGCATGAAAAACTTTGAATTTGGGCAATCAAAACATGCTGTGATCGTGCAAAATTTGATTCATCGTCGGACCTGAAAGTCACGCATAACCGACCTATTTCCATGTTTCTTGACTGAAAATTAGTTTTTCGTTTTTGAAAAATCAAGAATAAATGACTGCCAGCTTATGAAAGAATTAAATATGAAAGCTATGGAATTGAAGTAAATCCAAGAACAAAAAGCTATTCTAACTGAAAAATATATTGAAAAACACATTGAAAATTAATTTTTCAAAAGATCACTTACAACGATATCAATCAAAGCGTAACTTTGGATAACATTCTGACTTAAAGAAAAATTGAAGTAAAATTTAAGAACTAATTTTATTACTATTCAACGACGATTACTGACAACCCATGGTAAGTTTTCATTGAAAAAGTTTAATTGTATTTGAATTTTCAGTCATTTTCCTTGATAACTGTTTGTGATTACAATAACTCTTATCGCTTGAATTATACTAATACGCTAAAGTTTGATGTGAAATTATATGACATACACTGGCTGTCCCGAATTAATTTCGAAGTGAAATTAAAAATGTTCAATTTTTTGCAATATTTTAGCTCATTTATTCGGCAACTCAAAAAAAAAATAAAATTGCAAGTTACGGGTATCAAAAAAAAATAAAGTTGCAAGTTATGGGTATTGATTTTAACAATCGGGGCTTCAGTGGAAAACAATCGAATTTTATATAACAAAATTTGATTTAAATAAAAAAATGGAACGGATTTTTACACTAGCCAGCTTCAGCGATTGTAGTCTAATAGTACGACTAATTTTTTATATTGGTGCCACTTGAGGTATTTGGTAATGTGCTTTGGCAATAGATTTGTTATCGAAGTTGATGCATTTTGATTAATCAAATGAACCGGAAAAAAACTATTTGTTTCACATAGTAGTGGGCTCTTTTTTGTTCTCCCCATCTCACATCTTTCAGACGGCCAGCGTTAAAACGACGTTCAAGTTACCCACATATGTGGCATGGCCTACCTATGTTTTCGGGGACCAATAACACTGGACTGGGGACGAGACGAAACCTTCAAACAAGACCGAAATAATTTAGTACAATGTTGTCTAGAGTCAGCGAGTCTACTACTACAACAACATAGAAATTGCTAGTGAAAATGCGCAGGGGGAAAGGAAAAAGAACCCAATAAAAAAGACATTTCAAATTTTTCTATTCAATTTATCTAGCATTTTTTGAAATGCTTAATTTACTCATAATTTGGCTTCATGCTTTCCGATTGATTAAGTCCAAAATTAGTGTAGACGCCTTCAGTTAAGTAAATTCCAAATTATTACTTGCAAAAAATTTGTGATTCTTATATCTGGTGCCACTCTTGCTACATAGCATTGGCAATTTCATGCCAATTTGTGGCCAGTGTTCGAAAAGTGTTCGCGTAGGGGACTCCAAATCTCCTGGTCGTGGGATCGAATCTGACACAGCAAAATATTTAATTTTCAAGGCTTAATTTTACATTTTTTTTCGCTTCATAGACCTGCTTTTTTGTCATTTGCTGGCTAGTGTCTGCGAAGCGCAGCTTCGCCTCTGTGTTTGATTTTGAAATCAAATTGTTTCGAACCTGATAGCTGTGATCTGTCCTGTCTACTGCTTGAGATATGTCTTCCTTCTGTTTAGGTTTCTGCTAATGAAACCCAGTTTTTCTTGATTTGCACCATGCTTGAAATAACATCCGCACAAATTTCTCCAGATTAAATGCTGATCATTTCGATTTTTTTTGTGGGTTTTTGGGGAATGCGAAACATTGATTTTTTAAGATCGAAGATTAGGTGAATCAGTTGAGAGAGCACCGTTAATGTAAAAGTTAACTGCAGTTATTCGAGGTTCATTGGTTAGAATTATCATCTGTAGAGTACGAAATCATAATACTTGATTATAGTGTCGCGTCCTTTTGCACACGGAAGTTTTGACTGATGCAAAACTATAAATTTGTGGCATAGGTTGTTTCTATGTTTTCAGAGCGTTAATTCGCCAGCAGGTCAAATTAGATACTCCTCGCAAAATTCACTGCGGCAACATGCGTCGACAGCGAATAGTGACATGCTCACTCCTGATGGCTTGGTTCCAACATGGGCAGCAGAAGCCACCAGGGCAATGACTGGTAGCACATCTTTGGCCGAGAACTACGCCTTCTGTGGAGTATATCACATATTCGATGTGCACAAGGATATAGGTGAGCTTATTTGATCCCTGTCGCATTTGAACTAAGCAAATGGGATAGCTGAGTTAGCTGGAAAGATTTGCTTATAATATTGCTGTAAATTTAAAACTTAGAATGCAATCGACTGGATCAAATAATTGATCCAAAAACTGAAAGCGCTGAAAAAAATTAAGATTCTGTTTTTTAGTTGCACTTTTAACCAGGATCACTCACTTAGTCTTGCCTCAAAGAAAGGTCGTTTAGATTAGAGTGAGATATCATTTGCCCCATGCAGTCGTGATCCGATCTACAGAAAACCTTCTCAGTATTTGCGCACTAGTTGAGACCAGAAATGAAATAACGTCCTCAACAAGTTTGCAAGTAACAAATGATTGTCTATAAGAAACAGTATTCATCAGTTATAAAGCCGCACCTATCTGGTCTCCAAGATTAAGCAACGACAACTGGTTTAAACTTCAAGTCAAACAAAGCAATCCTCTAAGAACTATACCTGGTTAAGTTTTTCTTCGGAAGCCATCTTTTGGAGCGTGCATAGAATCAAAGCAATGCTCTAGAGACGAGTCGAAACGTCCATAAACCGTTATAAACATCAAGGAATGCCGTTAAAATTCAACGAAGCTACAACAACCTACAGAAAATAATTCAATAAAAGCTCGAAGTGTCAATAACAAGTGACAAACTTGACGAATTCAGAAACTTTGCGACAATAAAAAAAAACCATAATATCGTAAGCGCTATCGCTTCGTTCAGAGAGAAGTGATATGTGTGTCTTGTCTGTTACAAAAATGGAACTTGTTGCCTCCTATTTGTGCTAGTCAGCTTTGACAGAGTAATACGGCTATATATATATTTCAGTTACATCCGTTCAATTTGCGCACGATGACCTCACAAAACTAGCTAGTAGTTCCCTCGACGGATCTTTAGCTGTTCATATTGTGTTACCCGAACCGGAAACGTGTTTCGTCCTAAAGCATCCCAAAGGTGTGACCGGATTCTGCTGGAGTTACTCGAATGATTTGATCATGTCGTGTAGCGAGGATGGATATGCGCGTTTGTTCAACTCTTCCAATGGTGTATGCGTGCGTGCAATTCATGGAGTACAACAAGGGGCTGCGGTATTAACTGGAATTTTCCACCCGGTCAATAACAACATGATTATAGTGAGTATATGAGCGATAAAGCCCTATCAGTTTAATAATAATAATCATAATAATAATAATAATTTATTCCTCTAAATCTGCAATCAAAAGTTTAATGGCGCTTATAGGTTTTTCGCATGAAGTATATGTTTATAGCTTATGGATGAAAAAAATGTCAGTCAGTAGATGAAAATTGATTTGCAGGTTTTTAAACCCCCGCGGCCTGGGGTTACTGAGGCCTCTGTCAACAAATGGACTTGGAAAAGTATAGAGGCTTTAGTGTTTAGTTTATCTTGTCGTAAAACAGAAACTAGCTCTACAATTTCGAGATGTCTGTTCTTTAGACTGGTAGCTCCAAAGGTAATGTAGAAGTGACGAATTGCTCTACTGGTATCAAACCCAGAGGCTCCACCGCTAAAGTGAACGCGCCAGTCTTGAGTCTCTGTTTTGACAACGATGGACATGTTTTATGGTCGGGAGACGAGCGCGGTTTCATCACATCTCTGTTCTACAGCGTAGAGAATAACCGACTTACAAAAGGCAAACGGTTCTCAGTGGCAGGATCAAACCCAGTTACATGTATATCTATGCGACAATGGATAAGTCGAGAGGCAAGGGAACCCTCGCTGCTAGTTAATTGCTCCTCAAATGCGTTATATCTTTTCAGAATAGTTGGCCCTACTAAAAGTGCAATTTTGCTACGAAGAACGTTTCCGATATCGCATAATTCACCCTCGCTGAAAATTCGAAGCTGTTTTTGTCCAATAATGTCTTTCAGACAAGGCGCCTGTGTAGTGACAGGATCGGAGGATGGTTCTGTTTATTTTTTCAACGCCGAGAGAGCAAATAAAGCATGCATTAATAAACTTCAAGGCCATTCGGCGCCAGTAATTGATGTTAGTTTTAATTACGATGAAAGTATGTTAGCCTCGTGTGATTCACAAGGTCAAGTGATTGTATGGAAGAAAGAGCCCTAGTCTAGTCTCGACAATATAATTGCTTTTGATGTCATACATATCATTCCATTTCCTGCTGTTTTATGTCTCAAAACATTGAAGAATTTTTATGGCTGTTAATTGCTTGAATAATAAAATCAATCCGATTTTGTTGTGAGTTTCTGAATATATTGGTAGTTATAAGACTTTAGTTATCGGACTTTGTGTAATCTTGATGAAGTTAAATTAAGAATAATTTTGTTTTGTTTTCTCGATGTGATGAGTGAAAAACGAGAAGAAACTCCAAATAATTGTTACGCTGAAGCAACGCAAAAAAAGTTGACTCAGCCGTGTACAGAATTTGACGCCTTGAGGAATAAACGGAAAGGAGGGTTTCTGTTCCAACGCTTTGACATCGAATCAGAAACAAAGAAACTTTTCAAATCTAGCTCCAAAGTGTCCTTTTTACTGACGGAGTTGGCCAAATTGGGTTGCCCTTTTAAACCTGACGTGAATTTGGCCTTTGAAACTTGCTCCACCGAGAATTTGGACGCAGGATTTGATGATTCGGCGTCGCAGATACTGCTGTGCACCAACAAAATTAGTAATGAGAAACAGCTCGAAACTCTCCTGGGTAATGCTTTATTGTTCCGACCTTGTCACCGAAAGTTATGGGAAGGAACTAAGGATCAGCTAGTGTTTTTCCGCCCAATTTTGACCACCTCAAAGAAAGCTCTTAAAAATGAAAGTTGATATCATAAAGAACCCCTATTGCCCGTAATTCGGATTCCAAAAAGAAAAATATAGAGTTGTCGGTGTCGAGAAAAATTTGCCTGAATTTTAAAGATTAGTGAACGTATATAGGTCCAGGGTGACCACTCGGTCATTATTTTAGTGAGCAGTCACTATTGGTCACTATTTTTTCAATGGTCACTAAAAGTCACTATTTACAACGGTTTTTGGTGACGGACCCTAAAATTTTTCTAAAGGCGCCTTTGGCGCCAATATATACTAATAGTGAGGGGGGAGCGCCCGCCGAAAAAACGCATTTTTTTTCTAAATTTTTCAAAAAGTGCCTAAAACTGACTTTTTCAGCCTGTTTATTCAAAATTATGCCTGCGGCGCATAAATTTTGGCCAAAACAGGGACTTTTTAGTGCTTTTTTGGCAGAGCTTGAAAAATTAATTTGGCCGACCTAAAAAAAAGGTCGACAAAAATTCGAAAATTGTCATAGTCACTATTTTTATCTCAAAAAAGTGGTCACCCTGTATAGGTCTTGCTGATTTTTTTTTTCAGGAAAAATCTGTTCACGCTCAATTTTGAGTTTTCGCGGTTTGACTTGTGATTTTTTTTAAGTTCAGTGCATTTCTATTGTTAAAAGGAAGGCAAACTGCACTATCGAACAGCAAAATTGTAAAAGTCACTGAAAACGTGATCGACTTCTAATTTCGACAATGGAAATTAATTATCAGATTTCCCAGCGAAATAAAAGTTTTACGCATTGATCCAGTTTTCTCATATTGAGTTGATTTTAACAAAAAAGTCAATCATATATAGTTCTAGAAAATCAAAGAGTTTTGACGTCATCTATTTCTTCGAAATTCAAAAGTTGAAGATTTTTGAAAAAACAAGGTCGTTTTTTTTTTCAGTTTCCTTTCTGTTTTTCAGACTAATTTGCACTTAATGCACAGCAATGAGTGAGCCAAAAAAATTGCCTTTCTATCTATTTTTGGTTCTGCAATGTAAATGCATTGCAATCGGGTACCAGATTTTTCCCCGTGAATAACTTAAGGCACAGAATGGTCAAAATTAGAAATGGTAAATTTAGTTTCAGTTGTTAATTTATTCTGATTTCTTTGTGTCGCCGGCGTTTGGTCTAGAGGTAACGAATACGCCTGGGACTGCAAAGGTGCTGGGTTTGAATCTGACAGAACCTGTTATTTTTTTCAAACGGGAAATATTCTGTTTCACAAAAAAATGGTCGGCTTATTATTGTTATTATTGTCGGCTTAGTTGTCATATTGTTTTTGGTTTAGTTTTGTTTACATCATAGTTGCTTTTAGTGTTCTGATTTATCACTGATGTTTTTAATTTTTTTAAAGCGTTTTGTTTGTCTCCTTTTTTGTTTCATTTTTTTGTTTGATAGGTTTCTGGCCTATATTATATCGGCTTAATGGCAATTTTGTCTTTGGACAAGCGAAAACAATTTGTATGTGAGTGTCTGTGTTATGAGGCGAAGGGGACCAATTAACTTCAGTCTTGATTTTTTTTCGGCTTCAAGGGTTTCTGCCAAGGTATTTTTCGGCTTTATAACTGTTTGGTAAAGCTTTTTTTAAAATTGAAAACTAGCCTTATTTTTTTGCTAGATCTAGTTATTTTGTCGAAACTTTTTTTAACTTAGCGCCCTTTAGATTTTTTTAAACTTAGCGCCCTTTTGGTTTTGAATCGCAATTGATGCGAAGCTCAGCTTCACCTCTGTGTTAAAACATATTTTAAACCCTAATTATCCAAAAATGTAGACTTTTTTTGAATTGTACCACCCACCGTCAACGCCTAGAGAGTAAAGCAAAGGAAAAATAAATTAAGTGTTTTTTGTCTTTATTGTTCGAGCCATTGAAAATGGTGAGGAATTTTGCATTTGGTTGTTTTAGTTTTCTTTTTTATTTGTTTTCACGCAAAACAGGTGCCACAACACAAATAATCATCGGAATGGGTTGAGTTATGTATCATATTGAAGCCCTTGCAGTCGCAATTTGAATAACATATCATATTTTATATCATATTATTATATATTTTATTATATTATTATATATTAAATGTACTAGTTTCAAGAAAAATTGGTTTAATTTCGAGCGAGTGGAGCGATCAAGTAGTATTTGAAGAAAAAAAATTGAATGTCTTCATAAAAATCTTTAAAGCAAGTTCTCGGCACCATAAAGCATAATTTAAACCTATGTTTTTGCTGGGTAAAATGAACAGGCAAAAATCAATAGTCCAAGTGAACTTAAGAATACACTTCAAACAGCGAAAATGAGCTGCAATAACTGCGAAGGTTTCCTGAAAAATAACATAGCCAAAAGACAGTCGACGATAGAAGAGTCTTTATGAACTCAGGGTGACCAAAAAGTACTGGCATTGAATTTGAATTGACTTGAAAGAAATCAAATGCAAACCGTGAAAATTGAAGTTGGAATAAAATCAACTTTCTCGTTTTTTTAAAATAAAAGTTGAACGACCTAAAAAAAGGTCTTCACTTCACGCATTGAATCTTCAAAATGAAGAACAGGACAGTCATTGGTCGGACCATGATGGAACTTAGTATTCGAGTGTGTTTTAGTTTTTTTGGTTTCGATCATTGAAAATGGGAGGAATTTAGCGTGGAAAACAAAAAAAAGAAAAAGTTAAACACTCGAATACTAAATCACGTACCACAAATAATCATCGGAATGGGTCGAATGATATACCATTTTAAAGCCCTTTCAGTCGTGATCCGACGTCAAAAATTGTCAAAAAGTTGTCCCAGTGTAAAGTTAGTTCTAGTTTTTTTCATCCATATTTTGCGAATCAAAAATGAAAAAAAATTTTGTAAAAATTTTTTTTGATGATATTTTGTATTTCTACTCATTTTTCTTCAAAAACTGTTCTCCCATTTGCCTGTTTCTTCTGACTATTGATTGTACTTTAAAATTATAGTTTTTGTCCTGATCCTTTTATCGCACCACCCTGAAAAAACGACACTAGTTTGAAAATAAAAATAGTTGTCTTTTTTTAAGACTATGTTTGGAAAATTTCGTGCTACTTGCACCGTAACCGGCTATACTTGTTTCTTTTTCATTATTGTTTTTCATGCAAAATCATATACCCAAAATAATCATCGTATTAGGTCGAGTGATATATAATTTAAAGGACCTTTAGTCGTGATTCGAACGAATACGAAAAAAATTTCATGAAGTCATCCCACCGGTTTGAAGTTTTTGAATTTTGGCCTGATTAGAGCAAGTAAAGCGAACGAGGAAAATTGGTCATGATTGCACCCAACGAAATAGTTTTGGAAGCTTCATTAAGCGCTTTCTTAGCCTTAATAGTTTTCTAAAAAAAAATTGATTTAGAAATAGTTTTCTAAAAAGTTTTGTTTTGGTTTCTCCTTTTTGTTTTTAATCACTTTTTTGGACGACAACTTTTTTTGGTTATGCCTATTTTACTTAATGTATACGCGTTTGTGAACCGCGAAAATGAGCTGCAAGAACTGCGAAGGTTTCCTGAAAACAACATAGCCGAAAGACAGTCGCCGATAGAAGAGTCTTTATGAACTCAGGGTGACCAAAAAGTACTGGCATTGAATTTGAATTGAACTTGAAAGAAATCAAATGCAAACCGTGAAAATTGAAGTTGGAATAAAATCGACTTTCTCGTTTTTTTAAAATAAAAGTTGAACGACCTAAAAAAAGGTCTTCACTTCACGCATTGAATCTTCAAAATGAAGAACAGGACAGTCATTGGTCGGACCATGATGGAACTTAGTATTCGAGTGTGTTTTTGGTTTCGATCATTGAAAATGGGAGGAATTTAGCGTGGAAAACAAAAAAAAAGAAAAAGTTAAACACTCGAATACTAAATCAGGTACCACAAATAATCATCGGAATGGGTCGAATGATATACCATTTTAAAGCCCTTTCAGTCGTGATCCGACGTCAAAAATTGTCAAAAAGTTGTCCCAGTGTAAAGTTAGTTCTAGTTTTTTTCATCCATATTTTGCGAAACAAAAATGAAAAAATTTTTGTAAAAATTTTTTTTGATGATATTTTGTATTTCTACTCATTTTTCTTCAAAAACTGTTCTCCCATTTGCCTGTTTTTGTCCAGATCTTTTTATCGCACCACCCAGAAAAAACGACACTAGTTTGAAAATAAAAATAGTTGTCTTTTTTAAGACTATGTTCGGAAAATTTCGTGCTACTTGCACAGTAACCGGCTATACTTGTTTCTTTTTCATTATTGTTTTTCACGCAAAATCTTGTACCCAAATTAATCATCGTATTAGGTCGAGTGATATATAATTTAAAGGACTTTTAGTCGTGATTCGAACGAATTCGAAAAAAAATTCATGAAGTCATCCATCCCACCGGTTTGAAGTTTTTGAATTTTGGCCTGATTAGAGCAAGTAAAGCGAACGAGGAAAATTGGCCATGATTGTACCAAACGAAATAGTTTTGGAAGCTTCATTAAGCGC